TGGTTTAGATTAAAAGATTCATTTGAACAACGTCATTTAGATACTTCATTATTATCTAAAGAACGAGTTATTATTTTGCCAAGTGATCTGGGTGATTCAAGACTTGGACAAACTGAAAATGTTTATTTGAAACTTGTACGAGAAATAACACAAATTTATCACGTAGCGTGGAGATTAGATTTTAATAGTAAAATTGAAGCTTTCGAACGTGAATGTATTGGTGGAACTGTTAATCTTCTTATGCTCGCTCGTGATGCATATATTCATCATCAAAATGTTCATTTTAATTTTACATCAAGTATCAGTACATCTCTTGGGTCAAAAATAAATGTTAAAGAAGATGAGTTACCTCAGGATATTTCAAGTGCGATACTTAATGGATATGGTTTATCAAAATTCATTACTGAGTATATATGTGCTGAATGGTCTCGAAAAATTGGTTTCAAGCTTGATATTCATCGTGTTGGTCAAGTTTGTGGTGATTCAGTTACGGGAATTTGGAACACTAAAGAACACATTTCACTTATGATAAAAGGTGCACAAGTTATGAAAATTATGCCGGATTCGTATATTTCAAATGTTGACTGGATCCCTGTTGACATTGCTTCCCAAAGCATCGTTGATATTTCTTTAAATGCATCATTTGACAACGACATTGATTATATTCGAGTTAATCATATACTTAATCCAAAAAGAATCCCATGGGATGAATTCTTAAAATCCTTACAAAAAAGTGGAATGAATTTCAAAATTGTTTCGAATAAAAAATGGTTAAATACATTATTAAAAACGCCCGAATATCAAGACGTGGATAAAAATCCAGTAGCTGCATTATCGGGATTTTTTGAAAAAACTATAAGCGAATCATCAAATAGGTGTGAAGAACCATTATTTGAAACGCATAAATCAGTAAATCGTAGTTTGGCACTTTCCAATTGCCCGAAAGTTGATGTGGAATTAGTTAAATTATATATTAATCATTGGAGAAAAATATCATTTTTAGATTAACTAATTTATGTATTAATCATTAGAAAAAAATATCGCTCTTATTTTTTATAAAATATTTCTTATAGTTATGTTTCACGCTCGAGTTTTATCTATCTTGCTTATTATTACTTAAATATAATAAATTCTATACAGTATGGATCAAAATTTGTAAAATGGCTAGCATAATACACGTGATAGAAAACCTCCCAGGATACTAATATTATGGATAAACCTGTTTTCAATAACAAAATATTTTTGTCAGTGATAGGGCTGTTAATCGGTTCGTCCGGTTCATCCTGGTCTAAAAACTGCTAGTCTTTTAAAAAGTTAGACCGGACTACGGTTCAGGACTATTAGGACCGATCAGTATGAGACTGGACGGCTGATTATTATTACTAATTAAATGCCAAATAAGTTATGCCAGCATATTAATTATAATGTATTATTACCCGTTATTATTATAGACTCCCTCCATTCAACTTATTAGTTTATTACTCGTTATTAATAAAAGCTATCTCTTAACACATATTTTAAGCCTGTCTATTATTATTAGAACTAGTGGTGGCAATGCGATTTTTGTAGGTATATTTATGGTGCAGGTAAGCTAGATAAAAATTGGTTAGATGTTCGATTATGGGGACACTTCAAGATCAATGGACCCAGTGATCATCACATCAGGTGAAATCACGCAATTACGTCATTTGTTTACTAGCACTAACAAATCGGCCAAAGCTATACTATCACCTAACCCTAAAACCAACCTTAATTTAGGCCGAGCGTTTAATCATGTGATGTGATGAACACAAATATATCACTGGGTCCACTGATCTTGAAACTTCCCCGATTATGTTACTAAAAAATAAAAATAAATCAATTCATTACAGTAGCTAATCAAAATCACATTATCATTATCAGATTCTATTATAGGATTTATTATTAGATTTTACTAGTTAGGCCGTTTGAAGTTAAATTTCGGTTCACATCACCCCCCAGCTGAAGTTTCCCCCGAAAAACGACAGCCAATCAAAACGCTGGATGCCTCTCGCCAGTCACCTGATTTACATCAACCAATGAAATTGCTCACCTTTGTTCATTTTTATATGTTCGTTTCATATGTTCGTTTCATTTTAGCCCCCTCCCCCCCCTCGAAAGTCCTGGCAAAGTGATGTTAACAGAAGAATCAACTTCAAACGGCCTTAGTCTAATATCGTTTATTTATGATTTTACAAAAATCAGATTTTATTACAAAAGTATAGTTTCATGAACCTGTACTGTAAATATATCTAGACAATCATTTTAATTAAAAATATTAGATTTGTATATCTAATTATATACTATATATTATAATACTATACTATGTACGTACTGTACTGTATGTATGTATGTATGCATGCTAGGAAAAAAAAAAAAAAAAAAAAACGAATCGTTTGAAAACACTTAAATTCTAGTAAAGAAATTATCCTTTTGGCACTTATATGCCCACTCTTATCTATAGTCATGCTTCTACTTTTCGAGTTTTGTTTTAAATTTTACATCTTCTTCCTTCGAATTTTTTGCGATATATTGATAATCACTGATCGTCAAAGAACATGGCGAAAGGTAAAAGAACTACAACGAAATAATAATGAACTCAGCCCTCAGCCCTGACCAACCGAAATTTACGAACCCCTCTAGTTCACCCACAAAATTTTTTCCGGCTCCAATTAAATTGAAGGATCAGGTGTAACATGAAAATTGCGCCTTTTTACAAAAATCGCCAATAACTCGAAATTTTGGTTATAAAACTGCTTTCTGTGTTCCAACAAAAAATATTCCTTGTGAAATTTTGATATAATCTATGCCCATTCCTTGATTAATCCTAACCCTAAGATAATATTTCTTGCATTAAATTTTTAGCTTATTCAGTTGTTTTGCTTTCGTGTAATGATTTTACGTTACACCTGATCTTTCGATTTATCGTGGTTTGCAAAATTGTTGTCCCATTATCAATTTTTGTAGATCGCTGCATGCCGATTGCTCAATTGCAATCGATTGTACGTGATTGTAGCGATTTCTCAGCAACCATCTGATCAAATTCTATGAATTTTTTTTTATTTGAATTTTATGAATCTGTAAAATTCAAATAAAAAAAAGTTCATCGAATTTGATCAGGTGGTTGCTGAGATATCATTGCTCAAAGTTTATTTTTTAAAAAAAATGTCAATGTAAATCAACAATAGAAGCTGCGCCAAATTTTTTCTAGAACTTTAAGCGAAGAATCTCAGCAACTATTAGATCAAATTCGATGATTTTTTTTTATTTGAATTCTATTAATCCATAGATTCAAATAAAAAAAAATCATTGAATTTGATCTAATAGTTGCTGAGATTCTTCGCTCGAAGTTTTTTTTTAAAAAAAACCCCCAAATCTGATTGTTTTTTGTTTAAAAAAAAACTTTGAGCGAAGAATCTCAGCAACTATTAGATTGGATATAATAATGTTGCTACAGTATATGTCAATTAGTAATACCTTTGGCACAATTTAATAGGCAGTTTCAAATCATCACTACTCTACAACCAAAATACAATAAAACCATAAGATACAGTGAAGCCCACTCGAAAAATGCAAAAAAGATTTAGTTTAAGAACCAAATCTTACTGCCATCATCTGTAACTAATGATACTTATTTACACAACTATGAGCTTCATTTAGATTATTCAATATCTATGTTTCACCTCGAGTCAAACCTGAAATAGCATTTGTTAATACTACCTCACATGCCAACTATTGAATATTTCCCATTACAACGGGTTACAACGAGTTGTTCGCTAGTCTTTATTTAATATGATACTTTCATATCTATCTATTCATACCATTTAGTTACATGAAATCAATAAGTTTTATACATGAAGGGCTTTTGCTACTACGATTAGAATCTTACAAGCAATATAACTATTTATAGTATCGGG